TAGCTGAATTACTTATTGTAGCATTTAATAATTTAAGTCTGTTAAAGTGGAATCTCAATAAATTAGAATGTTCATTTATTCATTCAAAACAATCCAAGAGATTTTTCACTCACACAGCCTTAATTTTGTTGATTATTACTACCAGCTAAATTAAACTCAAAACTCATTTAAAAAATTCTTTTGAAATTACATTTTTACTTAAGAGCAATAAAAATTTTAGAATTACAAAAAATGTTTTGTTGTAGTCACATCTATGCACTGACAGATGTTCAACATGTTATTTAGTCCTCTACATGGACAGTCAGCCATAAACTCCCACTGCCCAAGAAACTGACCGTTTACAGAGAAGTGGACCTGAATGTATGGAAAGTTGAGTGAAAGAAAAAAGTTAGGCAGAAAAATGTGCTCAAGTAAGTTGGACAGCAGCTGCTTTAAGAGGATTGCTATGCCATGAAAAGGTGGATGGCGCCCCAGGGAGTCTCAAAAACGGAAGTTCTCAGACTCGGCTATAACTGCTTTTGATGCAGCCAATTTGACTTATGATTCATATTCCATGTGAGAGACCATAACTGAAAACACTTTGCTGCCTACTAGAGGCTGGAGTTACTCTGAGTTATACCTAATTTTCCTAACAAGCCAGCGTATTTACGTTACCTGTGTGCAATGTTGAGATGAACAGCCTCTATTCAGTTCAGGCTCTGCTTCACGGTTAAACTCAAACTCAAAATCAAAATTCAATAAATCAGAGTTCTGATGAGGTCAGGCTAAAAGACAACAACCTTTAAGCAGGTATTAAACAAGCTTTTCCCACATTTCTACATTCAGTGGTTTTTGATGTAATATTCTAATTGTACTGAGCAACTCTGTACATGTGAAAGGATACGAAGTCTGCAGAGCCAGCAGCTGCAACAGCAGTCCCTCCAGCTGGCTGCTCAGCTCCTGGTAGTTAGCAGGAGGAGTCACTGACTGGTTAGGTGTGATGATGGGCCACTGCAGCTGAGCCAACACTTTCTCAAAATCACTGTGACAGAAATAAAAAGGAGGATCAGACTTCTGAAGAATCTGACCTCCTGAGTATTGTGGCTTTGAGGCAGACCTGGTCAGTCGATCCTTGATGATGTTATGCCAAAAACAAAGAGTTTTCCGGAGAAAGTCACGAAGATGGGAACATTGGGATTGGTTTAGACCGCAGTCCAGGGCTGCCATGCTCTCTACTCCCTTTATGGCATCCCACACACTGTTGATCATGAGGGATTGCTGGACTGCAGCACTGTGGACACAGCAGCACACACACACACACACACGCACGCACGCACACCTTACATGTGATGCATAAAACTGTTACCTAAACCCACATGCACAGTACCATCATAATCTAATTGTTGACCCCCAAGACTTCTGGACTGCAGCACTGTGGACACAGCAGCACACACACACACACACACACGCACACCTTACATGTGATGCATAAAACTGTTACCTAAACCCACATGCACAGCACCATCATAATCTAATTGTTGACCCCCAAGACTTCTGGGAAAATATTCTGTGGACCGACAGACGAGGAAAAAAAAAACTTTTTAGATCTGGTATAAAGGAGGGTGACTCTCTGTTTTGTGTTTCTCTCCATGTATTTAATAACTGATCCAGGTTCTTAACCATCTCTCCTAGTTTACTGTACCTAAGCTCCTCTATGTGGTGAAGGCCCTTCAGGTATTTCATGGATCTCTCTATGAAGTCCACATGGTTACACTTCTGGCCCAGATCCTCCATCCACTGGTTGGCCCCCTGTAGATGCTAGAGAAGAGCAACAAGATCATCATAAATACAAACATCATAAAACACAATACACGACTAGGGTTTAAACGATTAATCATGATGAGTCAGTTAATTAAATAGTCATCAATTAATTTAGTAGTTGTTTCTATGAGCTCTACTGCAATGGACAAGCAACCTGTCTAGGATGACCCCACCTCTCGCCCATTGATAGCTGGAGATAGGCACCAGCACCCTTCATGACTCCAACGCGATAAATGTGTGAGAAAATGGATAGATGGATAATTTAGTAATTGATTAATCGTTAACTGGAATGTACAGACTAAAACAAAAAACTACACCTTCAGAGTTGTAACTAACCCTGAACTGTAAACAATATTTAAATATTATGCATTTAAAATAAAAACTTCTGTCTGTAAATATGTTCAACTTCACCTGGTTCAAATAGTTAAAATGACTATTTTATCATTGGGTTGTTTATTTGCGTGTTTATTTTTTTTCTTATAATGTATAGAAAAAGCTTAAGTAGTTAAATGACAAATCTGTAGAATGAGGCAACTGTTTTATCCAACTAATTGATTAACCGTTAAAAAACTGATTGCTAAAATAATCATTAGTGAAAGAACAAAAAGAAAATTCATGGAACCAACTGGACAGACAGACTGTGGAAAGAGTTCCAGGTGAAAATGCGGCATTAATCAGTGGGAACGGTTCACATGATGATTTCAGGTTTAAAACTGACCTTTGGACACTTTGACCTAAAACTATGTCTAACGCCGTTTCGATGAGCTCTACCTGCTGCACCCTGCTGGAGATGCGCTGCTCTCTCTGCAGCAGCTCGTCCAGAGAACATCTGACCTCCACTGCAGCAGAAAGAGCTGCTGCAACTTTAGGAGGAACAGAACTGCAAACATTCACAACCTGAATTAAAAAATGAGACATTTGTATTGGATTTTATATTGTCATAAACTTGTGTTTACTTTTGAGTTTACTCAGAGTTGAGCCAACCTACCTGCTCCTCTAAAGATCCGGTCTCCTCTCGGATCTTTGCCAGCAGTTCACAAACATTCCTGGAGGATTTCAGGATGTCGCTCTGCTCCTTCTCCAGAAACTCCAGTCCGTAGTCCTCCTGCTCCCCCATATCACCAGGAACTCCTTCATTCCTCTGAAAAATCTTTTCTTTTAACTGGTCGCTACTTTTTCTCGTTGGGGAGTCCTGTTGCTCCTCGGTGACTGCAGCCATTTTCCCTTTAATCTACTGAGATGACGTTGTCTTTCCGTCGAGTACAAATCGAACGTTAAAGTTATTGCCCCCTGCCGCTTCGGGGTGGTATGAAAGCAGAATGAAGACCAGTGTTGTTTGTTTTTGTTGACTTGTATAATTAATTGAAGCACACTTGAATGACATCCAAAGATGATGAGAAAATCTGTTCGGCAAGGATGAATTTCCAGACCAACGTGAAAAGCAATAAGAAAGTACATGTTTGGAAAACATAAGCAGAGATGAAAGCACATTGGCAATGTCAACGTTATCAGACTCAACCATAGAAAGTAACAAAAACCCCATAATACACCGAGAGGGAAATAGATTGATGTTCAAGGCAGAGTACTTTGGAGACCCAATTTTTAAGTATCAAAAATCATCCAAGCCCACAATAAAATATCAACATAGTCTGTTTATTAGAGTTAATCTACCTACTGGCACAGATTGCATCTGCTGGAGAAAAATGTTTCCTTCTGATTTGAATGATCCAAAATGCCAACCTTCAGCTTCTAGAATACACTATGGATGATTTAAAGGATTTTTTTTGAGTACAAACTACCAACAAACATAAGTCCAAATGCATGGAAGATTTACCCGATGATTATCTACTTGATGACTATCTGTCTGGCACTGTCCACCTATCAGTGACATATAGAAATATAAAGCAAACATAAGAGCATCAACATTTTAATAAATAATCAGGTAGGCAGACTTCCCAGCTCTTCCAGGAACGTTGCTCAATATGGCAGGAGCACTGACTTTCCAAGTACTGGAAGTCAAATTCTAGAAATTAACAGCGACATTTCAGTCATACTTATGTGCAGAGAACATTTCAGCAACAATGCAGTTCAAAGTGCTTTACATTACAAAATACATAATACAGTAACCAATTATGAAATAAGCAATAAACATTACATTTGAATCTTTTCAATACATACACACATACATACATATGTACATGTATGTATGCATGTAGGCATATGTGTGTGTGTGCATGTGGGCGTGTGTGTGTCTGTGTGTGTTTATAAGACAACTTTGGAAGTTCAGTTTCTTAATAGCAAAAAAATTCACAATCTCCAATAATTTATTCTTCTTTACCTCAAAGTTCTGAACATTTATAAACTTTTAATATAGTAATTGAGACTCCATTTATTTCAGGAAAGACTTTATCCAAAAGATAAATCTCCATTGTTCCAGAAAAACTTGCTTTCTGTAAATATGGATTGAACGGTTGGATCTAGTGACTGTAGTGTCCTGTGGGCATTCGTGAATAAAACTTTGACCCCTTAATTCTGCAGGTCAGTCTAAAAATGACTACATGAGAAGATCTGCCTGACAACACAGCTTTCCATGGAAGCCTAAGTGTGGTTTGTCTGCACATGTAGCTTGGTCACATGAGGAATCAGCATTCAATTATCAGTGAAACATCCATGATAATGTACTGCTTTCAATCTGAAAAACAAATCAATGCTTTTATGAGATGAAGCTTTTTAGACTGAGTCACATAATCATCTTTAATGAAATAAAGACATCCTTTTAGTACAACAAACCTTCAGCAACAGAGTGTAAAAGGATTGAGACATTATGAAGCACATGCTGAGTCTGTAGGCTATGCAGAAAGAATGGAATAATGAAGTAAAGCTTTATTTTGGAAAGAAAGAAAAAAGGATTCTAAAAAGAGCTTATAGAGAGAACTGCTGGGCTGGTGGGTTTACTGATTTGAATTGTGGACAAAGTACTGTTGTAGTTTGGATTAGTCAAGATCTCAAAACAATTTCCTGAATACTTGTCTCAGAGTTGCAAGCTCCCTTCCTTCTTCCTCCAAATGTACCAACATGACTGACCTATTTATACTCTGGGGTAGATGCAAGCATTTCACTCCAAAACATGTTCCTGTCTGAGACACAGAACACCAAACCAGAAAGAGTGCCCTGTTGGGACCTGGAAGGAGACTGAAGTGATGTGGTTGGTGGAGGCAAAGGCAAAAACTTATGGTGTGCTCATTGTGTGCATCTTCAGTAAGAGGCTTTTTCAGATTCAGTGTATTACAGACCACTGCAGATTTTTCCTGCCAACAGCCATCAACCATCTCTTTGAGGAATCTAAATCAATGAGTTACAACCTTTAATTTCCCTTTTTTGATTAATAAAGTATTTTTGATTTTGAATTTGAACTCAATTCACACCTTAGGCCTAAATATAAACCCAAATCCCAAATCAGCATTTCTCCTTGTGGGGTCCAGGCTTCAGTCCCCACAAAGTAATATGTGTCAGGAAAATGGTCCCCACAAAGTATTAAATATATGGTACACACACACATACATACATATATAAAACCATCAGGTTTATAAATATGTACATGATCTGAGAGCGTACGTACAGATACCGGTCAGAGTACAGTTCTGTTATCATTTTTACACCAAGAGAATCACAGACAGTCTGGATTTCTTGCAGCTGCAGAAAACAAGTCCAGAACAACTACCTCTGGGCTCAGATAGGGTCATTAGGTCAAAGTTCATAAGCATTAAAATAAAAACTTAAGTCATAGGATATAAACCTGTATGCATAAAACATACTCTCCCATAGTATGTGAGTTTGAGGGACAGACATTAAAGGACATGAAGGATGAAGAAAGAAAGCATGATTACAATGCTTTCAACCCTCAGAAATAATAAGATCACAAAAGATACTGTTCAAGAAAGACTCATTGTTCTTAGGGTTGGGCTCACAGTGATCTGATTGATCACTCACATGCCCCCATTCCCCTCCCCACATCCTTTCTTAACATTCCCCTCCTTATTTTTGCTTACCAGCCAAATTATCAGTGAGGATTTATATAAAGCCCCTGCTGTCTTGAAACTGAAGCATTCATTTCTGCACCAGAGACGGAAACTCTTTTGCACCTATAGGATGTCTGCACACATCAGACCAGGCAGGTATCATGCATGAAAAAGACTTCTGTCTGTCTCTTCACATCCTGTCTAATTTATCAGTCCGTCACTGCATAAGGTTTTGTCCCCTTTTTTTCTGCTTTCTGTAGAATCCATTTTATTGTTATTTTTTTTTAAAAAAGGAGGCAAATTTAGGTTTTAATATGGAAGATATTGAGAAAATATGTAAATTCATTCATTTACTCACTGTCCATATTCTCAGAAGATCACTGTGGTGTTGTGAATTTTCTTAATATTCCAGTCTTTATTGTTTTTCCTCATTTTTCTCTTTCTTTGGCGTTTCTTAGTCTCCCCTGTGTTGGTGGTGCTAATCTACCTGGCACTCTGCAGCAGGCTGAGCAGCATGAGAACAGCATCCAGCTGCACCAACGGCCAGTCTGGATGCCACTTCCTCACCCTGGCCAACCTGTTTGACCGGGTCATCCAGCACTCAGCCAGGATGCATGGCATTTCAAATGACCTCCACTCTGAATTTGTAAGTCTTTTTCTTATTTCCTGAGGATTTGTAATGATTCATATCAGAGTGTCTTTGACATACTTGAATTCTGTAATTCTGAGTGTATTAGTTATGTCTAGAATTTATTTATACTCAATCTATCTATTAAATGTAACAGTCCTGTAATGTTGGCTATGTCAATGATTGGTTGGGGTTTTACAGTTTGGCCTGCTGGTAAACTTTACTTTGCCAATAATTTAAAAAGAAGGTTTAAATGCAGTTATGATGTGATTTTAGGACATACAGTACATTACTCTGCTTTAAGGGGGAACTAAACATGTTATCATTGCCTAAAAAGGTTTTGTTAGAGGAGGATCAAATAAATACACAGTATTTTCTCCCTCATAATTCTTTTAATTTTTTTGTTTTTTAGTCGTGTTTAAAAGTTTAAGATTTGTAAAGGAATTTTAAAAACTTGAGTAAATCCCAAAACCTCTTTTTTATTTAGGTTCTGATTTTATGTAGTTGAAAAAATTAGCTGTCCAAACCAACCTGGTCCTACATGAAAAAGAAGTGACCTCATTGCTCAATTTATTATTATTAACTACATTTAAAGTAAACTAACTTCAGTTTTCCTTGTCACACCCAGTCCTGATTATAATAGCTGGACCTGTGAATCAAAAACTGACTGAAACAGAGCCTGTTTTACAACATTAAGTAGTCTAAGAGATCTGGAAAAATAACCTTTAAGCAAGTAAATCAAACACATCTCAGCTGTTCTTTTAGCTATGTGCACATTTAAATATAAAAAATAGCTCAAGTGACCAAAGAGAACAAGACAGAATACAACAATTGCTAATCTGTGTGGTAATTTGTGGCAATTTGTGGTAATTACCACACAGTTTTTATAACTGCCATGCAGCCGTGCTTACCAGATCTCATAGCTGTTAGAAAATGGTCCCAGTGGGCTAACCATCAGCTGATATGAGAAATTTGCTGATATGGCAGACACAGCAACAGGCATCACCAAGGAAACTCCACTTAGGAACATAGACCTTTTCTCTTTTCTTTTTTTTTAAACTTAGACATTGTTGTCACAAGAGAATTTGATGCAGTTCTAACCATACTGGGCTCATAACTGTAATGCTCTTATGGGTGCTGCAACAAAGTGGATGTTGTCTGTAACAAAAAAATCTAATGAAGTCACTTTTTATGCATCAATAAAAAAACATGCCTTTCAACACAGAGAGAGACATTCACCCACACCTGAGAATTAAATCCAGTGTCAAGGGTCTGTTTCCATATTTGCATATTTGAGAATGACATCATCAAGTTATACTTCAAATAGTATTCAGATGTGTATTTGTCACAATGACTAGCATATGATGCTACTTTTCAAACCTGCAGTGAAACTAGCAATACTGATATATTAAATTTTGATAGTAATAATTGATCATCTTGACTGAAGTCAAGTCAAAGTTTATTTATACAGCACATTTACATCAGCCTCAGCTGACCAAACTGTTTTGCAACTAGATAAATAAGATGCAAGTAGATAAATAACAAGATAAAAAATAAAATTAAGTTTAGTAAAAATAATAAGACAAATATAAAATTGGCAAAGAAACTAAAAGCTAATGGTATGAATAAAAAACAAACAGTACTTAAATTTTATCTGCAGCAATTTTCTTCCATCCTTTTTATTTTAATCCAGTCATGAGGGCAATTAGAACCAAACATCACTAATGATGTCAGTTCAAAAGGTTTAGAAAAGCATTAAGAGAAGCAGAATACATCTTTGTGTAATATGTCGCTCTCATACAGAACCATAGACTGCTATATGCAAAATGCTGTTTTTAACCCGTCTTCAATTGTTCTTCTTGCTATTATTCAGTGATGCACATGTACATATACACACACAAATAGAAAGCATCACTAATATTAATCACTTGCGTACTGTGTCCACAGATGGCATTTAGAAGAAGCTTGACCTTTGACATTCTCATTCATGTCTACTCCATCAGGAACTCTATTTCCTTCCCAGTAAAAACCAGATTGGCCGGGTCAGTCGCAACTGCCACACGTCTACCATCCTAACTCCAAATGGCAAAGAGAATGCTCAGAGAATAGCGGTGAGTTAACCTTTCTGGAACTTATTTCCTCTTCCTGACATCAGCTGTCTACATAGTGAAACGTCATGTGACCTTTTGGGTTCCTCTTCAGTTATTACCTTTTATAACACACAACTGTGCTACTTCCTCCTTTGATTTTCAATGCAGCGGTTTAAGCAGTTACTGCATACAACTGTGATGATGAACAAGCCCTCCTGACTTTTGTATTTTACCATGTTCCCACATGTTCTACTGCTCTGCAGAGAGAGGAACTAACCGAGGTGATTCTGAAGCTCCTGGTTGCGTGGCGGGAACCTCTGTGGCATTTTCACCAGAACATGGCTCAGCACCATGAATTTAACAATTTCAGCTCAAACAAGTCTCTGGAAATGAGTGACATGGTGCATGAACTACGCAGGGGTGTGCAAAAAGTGGTTGAGAAGGTACATGCCTGCACACATGTCCTCATAATCTACATCAAAACCAAAATGAATGATTCTGAGCTGCCTTTACTATAGACTGAGGGAAGTAAGGAGATTCTTTATACTCATCAGATTAAGATTTATTTAACATCACTAAAATAGACCAGGAACTTTTTAAATTAATTTTCTCATTAATCATACTGCTGTCCCAATCAAAGGGGGAGAAAGAGGAGAAGGTTTAATGAGCAAAGAGTGAACATTTGAAATATTATTTACAATGAGTTAGGTCTCTTTGTTACTTTCTCCAGACTTTGTGGACATTTATGAATTCCAATACCAAACATTAATTTGAAGGGAAGGAAAATGGTTGATTTCAAAGTTTCAGAATAACCCAACCTCTCAGAGTTCAACTTCTGAGACAGAACAGAAATAATGAGTGCATGTTTTGTGAAATGAAATGGTTGGCTCACTGATGGAGGAAACAGTCTAGTCTCAGCTTACCTGACAGGTAAACCTGTTTCAAATGCTCTGGTTCTGATCAGGCAGTCAGAAGGAGATTTGAAAGTCATTTATTATGTTTGTTGATCTAAACCCAGTGACAATAAAATCAAGCAAAATGAAAAAAGAAGAAAAAAAAATATGGTAAATGTGGCACATCATGTTGCAAACAGAAACATTCACCCAAAAGCTAAACTTACCCGACCATGCAAAACATTTTGAAGGTTCTGTTTCTGTCTCTTAAAACTCAGTGGTAGGATGGTGAGAACCAATCAGAAGCTAACTCTGAGGAATGTGGCACCAAACAGTGCTGAACAGCCAACACACACAAAAAAGAAAATTTATTAAAAAAAATTTTTAACCACTTTTTAGACTCTGATAGACACCAAGAATGTAAGCAAACTATCCAAAACTGCTTACATACTAAAGATTTCCAGCAGGAAATCACTGTATTGATCACCATATATAATTTATATTTTATAATTTAACACTTCACTGAAGTTATTTTCTATCAATATAATTTCTTTAAGCTTTAGCACATTTAGTCATTCAGACAACATAGTAAAACTTTTCACACATAAATCACTGAAGCACCTATATTTCAAGACAAAGAAAACTATATCTACATGGAATATAAATAGTTTCAAAGGAACTTGGTGAAAATGGTTCTAGTGGGTAAAAGCTTGGATCTGTGGCTTTGTATTTCTAATGAGAGTTCTCACAGAGGGTACTGTGTGGTTTATGTTTTTGTTAATTTTTGGTACCTAAAGTCATTTAATTTAGAACAAAATGTCTCAGTGCATATAACTGTTACTGTTTGATAGTCCTGGAGGTTAACTCGTCTCATCCATCTGATCACCAGAGCACATCATTTACCTGTTTTTGTGCCAAACCATATTTTTTGAAGAAAGATGAGTTGAACGTAATATTTTTTTGAAGTTGTTCAGTATCCCAAATAGACTTTAGGAAGCTTTTATGATTGTTTATGTGGTGTACTATCAATATGAACATGTTGATATTGATTTGAAAGTTAAAGTAATAATGTATGTTCCTGTGCCTAAGATGCAGATGCTGGGAGTAATAAGCAGTTCTCTTGGTAACCTGGGTTCCCCAGAGGCTCTGATGGCATCCGACAGGGCAGAATGGCGACTCATGAATGACTATGATCTCCTCTATTGCTTTCGTCGTGATTCAAACAAGATTCAGAATTACCTGAAGATCCTGAAGTGTCGAATTGTTCCAGAGCATGGGTGCTAAAAGGAACACTATCGAAGACGTTGTGTTGGACTCTGTGAAATCAGCATTGAAATGGAAATACGCCACAAAGAAACAATGTATATCCTGACTTACTGTGCATTCCTTTTGCCAACTATCAGGCATGAAGTAGCTACACTTAAAATTTGTTCAATTCTGTCATGAAAGAAGACTTGCAGGTGGTTGGCTTCTGTGTACTTCAGAACTTCAGAAAAACTTTGGGCATAATGTAAGGATGCAGTGGCAGCACAATTGTTTACAAATGTCATGTAAAATGCACAATGTATTGAAGTATGGTTATATTATATAAAAACATTACTCGAAAAAATATATATTTCTGTCATTTCACCAGAGAAGAAATATGTGCAGTGTTTCCGCCTTCCACCAGAAACTGTTCATGTGGTCAGAAAAGAGCCAATGAACACAGTAATCAGTTTTCTTTATGTACAGTTTTTGGATAATGTGTCATCATATCTTTGAATGGCAAGTTCTAGTTTGAGCACAAAGTAATGGTGTTATGTGTAACGTGACCATAGTAAAAGTTCACTATCATGTGTCTCAGTTGGCCAGTGAGAACAGAAAAGTGTCTACTTGACATTGATCTTGGCATTTAGACAAACAATACACAAAAAATATATTTGTCAGTTAAAAAAATTTTCAGACATCAAAATTACATATATATTTTTTGTCTTCATGGAAATATCAAAAGGCAAGAATATTGTCAGAACTGTGTGCCATGAGAACTGTGAGAAGTTTCAGCAAATTAACTAACAAGCTGTTTCATTTGGCATTTTTAATCATTTTTATGGTTCAACAAGCTAAACGCAAACTTTGTCACTTAAAGGGATTTTTTGTGTGTTTCTCATTCCATTTGTATTTTTGACACATAACAAGTTTCAATCTTCTCTTAACTTTAACAAGAAATCAAGCCAAGAAATATACATATTACAATGGTGCTCTCCTCTCACCATTGAAAGATAGTAAGATCCTCCACGAGCCAAAGTCCATGATAAAGCTCTTCATGAATGAAGCCACCATGATGTATTCACTCTGAGCCCTTCTGGATGGCCTTAAATCAAGCTAATGAACTGCCTAGATCCATTAGCTTGCCTTATTGTCTCATAAATACATGCAATGACATCGATCCTAAAAACCTGTGGTGTATGTATAATGCTTGAGTAATCATATCTAAATTGGGGACATTAATCAAAGGGCATATTTCCTTAAATAATTCTGTCAGAAACTGGGACTAACATACACGTTGAACATTTAGATTAAGTAAATATTTTTGATAATTCGGGAAGTTCAGCTGAATCAGAAGTCCAAACAGATCAGATTTTACAGTTGCTATATAAATCTACCTCAATCACTTTATTTTCAAGAAAATAAATTTTAATTCTGCACTGTAGTGCTAAACGTTTCAAAATGTTTGACTCTTTTTGTGATTTCAAACCCACCATTTTAACATGGATGTGTAGATTTTTGGCCATTGACTGCAGCCTAATTTTGAAACTACTTATGAGAAAGTAGCCAATGTAAAAAAAAAACTGCAGAACATCCAGTGAGTATGAGAGGGAGAGGAAGATGCTGCGTTTATTGTTTGTTAAGGGCAACTAGACTAAGATAATATAAAGAATACTTAAGTGGAAGGACAAGGAATGTACAATGATCAAGTGGCACGTGGGCAGTAATGCACACCAAAACCAGAGGGAGGCGATAGTGCAAGTTAAACCGCTGGTAAACTCCTTTGGAAAAAGAAGAGGAAGTCCATGTTTTCCAGCATGTCTGCGATTGGGATTCATTTTGGTTATACTTGTGCTTGTGTGGCCGTGTTTAAGGTGAGCGACTCGCAGTCTTTTACCGCGTAAAATCTTTCAGAGCAGCGCTTCACGTTGCTGTTCACAGAGAGGAAAGGCAATGATGTCAGTTCCGGTAATGATCGATGGCATCGTGGTGTAAGCGTTAGCAGCAGCAGTCTAGTGGTCTTTCAGAAAATTTGGGAGAACAAAGAGGCTAGATAGAGGATCAGAGAGGAGTGAGGGGTTCCAGGTTTGTGGAAGACCCGACAGTTTCAGCTTAGAGGGGAGCTATAAATGTCTACACGCTAGCAGTTCCACAGGTCGACGAGGTCGCCGTGTGGGGAGGGTAGTGATGTAAGTCACTGCTCCAGAGTCTGTCACGTTATTACCTCTATTTTTTAATAAGGCATTTAGCTTATCATGGTAACGTGTTATAAATTAGGACATAACTTCTTAATTTTGAAAGATGTATGCTTAAAAAAATAAACCCAGGTTTGTTGTTGAAGTTGACGAAGAATAAAAATCATCAATTTCTAGTCCAATAAGTCTGAACAGTTTGTGTCCGGGATGTGTGGGGTCAGCAGAAGTGTAAGCTTTCCTTTGCCTGACCCTTGACCTGTTCCAGGATGGAGGGCTGGTCAGTCCTGCAGACGCTCTGTAGACCTGATCAGTCTCTACAGTTTGGACTTGTCTTGTTTGTGGATGAGCCAAACCACACAGTTCTGGACAAGCAAGGGACAGACTGAATAACATCTATGTAGAAGATGACCGGCAGTCACTATATATGTACAATGTGTCCACAATCCTGTTCAATGTGCAGCTCGTATATCATCCAGCAGTGCGAAGGCAAGGGCTCCTCTTGGTCCCTAGAGCTGATTAACGCTCATATCTTTTCAAATCCTCGTCCTCTTTACTGTCACTGGCTCTTATCGAAGTACTCTATCTACCCTGTGCTCCTTGCTTTGGTTTCAAAAGCTTAGCTCACTAAGCTCATAAAATCTCATTGTATCAAAGTATTTTTTGTCATCAGATTTTTTCTTGAAATATACTCAAGCTGCCTTTCTGACAGAGGGTCCCCCCAGTGTGTTATAAGTCTGCCAGACCCCATAAGAATCCCCCTCCACAGGTCTGCTGCCAGTGTGCTGAAGGCAGTCATATCAATTGTCCTCTTTGTTTCCTGTTTTTATTTTTTGTTTTAATGAAGTAAAATGTGTGTCTTAGGATGGACGTGCTGACGTGGTGGCTAACGATGCAGGAGATAGAGTCACTCCAGCTGTGGTGGGCTACAGAGATACTGAGCAGGTGAGTCATTTCGATCTGCCTTTCTGTATTTCATTCTTATTTACTCTCCTAAAATTATTGCCAACAGAATCCTTTTTGCATCTTTTCTGGTGTTCTGAAGCTGTGTCATTCTTGCTAATTCCATGTGGGCTGATTGTTCATTTGCAGATTGTGGGAATAGCAGCAAAGCAAGGTCAGGTCAGAAACGCGGCCAACACAGTTGTTAAGGTGAAGCAGGTTCTGGGGAGAAGGTAGGTCGCCACAGGAGTGTTTTGTTGCAGCTTATGTAGTTTCACTAGAACAATGATTCTGATAGACCTGCAGGCCAAAATCTGAATTGTTATTAAATGAACTAAGACTCAAAATCTCCCACATTAATTGCTGTAAAAGCGACAGCAATAACTTTTTTATCCCTTTTTTTCCTTTCTTAATGTATTTATCTAACAAAGAAAGATTTGAGCAGTATCAACTATCAGTGAGGTTATAAGTCTGCCAGACTTTTATATATATATATATATATTTGTTTGTTTATTTAAAACCCTAAATCAGAAAAAACCTGCAGTTCTTTCGAAATAATAAATAATTTTCTGTGATGGATATTTATTGAACATTTTGAAGTCGTCTTTTCAGTGAAGGTCATGTAACAAGCTTTATTTAGCCAGACTGAGGGGAAGAAAAGCTCCGTGACAACAGCTCTGAATAATAATAGTTCTTTTCTCTGTCTTGATGGTTTAGGTTTGATGATCCTGTGACACAAATGCACAAAGCAGAGACGAAATGCAAGGTACGTTGTGGCAGTCACGTTTAGAGAAGGAAGTGTAATTGTGTATTTATTTTTGGGTTATTGATGGTTTCCGTTATTTAAACTTTTCCACCATATGCCACTCTTCAACCCACATAAGAGCTAGAGTGACAAAAACATAAAAATGAATAACAGGCCAGTTTTATCATCTTATCATCAATTGACTTCTGCTATGCCAATGTTGCTGTCATGTAAAACATCCCATCATCAGGCACACATTAACCTGGCTCATTCTTTTTTTGATTGGTGATAAATGTGTTATTTATTGTTATTTTTATGTCTTCTACTACTTTCTACTTGGAATAGGACTTTGGTTTCTTTCCTAAAATGCGCTTTGCCAGCAGAGACAAACTCCACCTGACTTGTGGTTGGTTATTAGGTTATCAACAGAGAGCAGATGCCATGTTATGAGATCATCTGTGGAGAGCATACAGAGCTTGTGGCACCAGAGGATGTCGCAAAGCTCATCTTCAAGAAGATGAAAGGTAGTGTGAATTAAATGCACCAACGAAGTGTCAGCCAGTCAGCTGACACATCTTTGCTTTTCCCCAGAAACAGCTCAGTCAGCTCTGGGCTCTGATGTCACTGACACCGTTATTACTGTTCCCTTTGAGTTTGCACATTCTCAGAAGCGTAGTTTGAGGTAAGAATATTTTATTTTCATTAATTTCTGTTTCATTACTGTTTTTCACCAAGCTTTATTGCTTTGGGGGACAAATTCATAGTTTTCATCTTTCTTTAATCGACAGCAGTAAACTTAATTGCTGTAGTTTAGAAGGCAAAACAGTCTGGAAGTTTTCTGGAATACGCTTCAAAATGTTGTTTTGCAGAGAGGCAGCCGAAGCTGCAGGCTTCCATGTTTTGAGGATGATCCATGAACCTGCTGCTGCTCTGCTGGCCTATAACGTTGGACAGGACTACTCCTCTGGGAACAGGTACATTGTGAAAATATCTGCAGAATGTTTCCTTTGTTGAAGATAACAAAGAAAAATTCAAGAGGCTGATTAGACATCTGTTTTCACAAGCAATGCCTCCATGTTCTTAATAGCAAAGCTGCACCCTTGCTGCTGTCAGCCTCTTTATTTATCTGAGCTGTGCTGAAGTGACTTCAGTTCTGATGAGGTTCAGCTTAGTGAGTCTGATCTGAATTCTAAAAGGATCGTCTTTCTCCTGGGTAGAGTGTGTGTTGATGTTTGACCTTGTGGTTTTGTCCCAGTCACGTCCTGGTGTATAAGCTTGGGGGGACGTCCCTGAGTGTGACTGTGCTGCAGGTGAATGGGGGGATGCTGCGGGTAGTCAGCACCCGGACAGACCACAGCATCGGGGGGGAGAGCTTCACCCAAGCCCTGGCTCAGCACCTGGCCTCAGAGTTCAGACGGTAGCTGCCG